CCTGTGACCATGGGACTCGGCGGGCACCTTTAGCGCCCCCCCAACCCACTAAGGAACCCACTAACGGGCTCCGAAGTGAAGAGGGGGAAGTGGCGCGGTCCTGTGAGTCAACTGCTATTTCCGTGGAGCGAAGCCGCATAGCCGCTGCCGGAGAGTGCTGCCTTTTTCCTGGGACAATTTGGACTTTAAAATAAGCACCCGTGAGTACTTAGACTTTGAACAATTGGACATCAAATAAGGACTAGCGAGCAGGAAAGAATTGGATTTTAAAAAATTCTATTCTAATTTGGTACGGAACGGGAAGGTCTAAACAGGAAGTCAGCCTTCCGTTCTTTTGTAAACAGAATAAAGCAAAGACAATTTAAACTAGAGTTCAGAAAATCGTTTTTAAAAGATTGGTTTTCACCATTTAAAATTGTGGAACCCCCCTTCGACAGCAGGAGAAGGGGGGGATCTTTTTGGACTGTTTAAAGTGACTTTAAAGTAAAGTAACTTTCCTCCGTCCTGATCCTGGAGCGGGGTGTCAGGATTGACGTTTGAAGTTCATTGACCAAAGACAAGTGTTTTTGACAGATAGCTAAAAGAAGAGAAACATAGTGATTCCACTGTTCCCTTTCGCATTTTAAAGGAATATAGATGGACAAAGTATCTTAAAAAAGGAAACTTTGTTGCAAGAACAAATAGAAGTCTTCCCCCTAGAGGGAGTCTGTGAAACTGTAACCAACTCCAGGGAGCCGGCAGCTGTCACAGATTACAACCGTGGGAACAGGCATCTGACCTTGCAGGACAATGTATTCAGAAGCTTTGTTGTGTGCTCTCTACAAAACAAATGCCCTACTGGAACAATTACATGAGGAGGTGAATTGGATGGCGACTTCGACTAGAAATTTTGAACAGGCAGTGGGAAACTTTGAACAGACAGTGGGAAAATATGTGGAGCCCACTTAGGAATTAAATCAGGAGTGTGTCTTGACAGAACAGGCCCAACAGGAATATGATTTTTCGGATTTGACAAATGATCTTGGAAAAAGCCATATTTGGAAAGGAAAGGTTTGGCTTGGTTTGGAAATGGGGGCTGGATTGACCCCCCTATGCTGGGATGTTTGGACTTTTCAAATATGGCAATGGGCCGTGAGATGTTTGGGACTGTGGGGGCTCTTAATTTTGGAGGGTCTTTGAAACATGCTTTTAAATACTACATGGAATTCAGTGTTGAACATGGAAAAGGGGCTGATCCGTCGAGAAGGGTTAAAAACATTGTCAAGCTGGAGTTACCACGAGCAGGAGACAAGGGAAAATACAGTTACAAATATGAAGAAGAGCCGCGGAAGGGACATGGAAGAGACTTGAGGGCCTCTGATATAAGGTTGCCAGGGCTAGATCGACAGGAATAAGGACTGACAAAACCCGGAACCAGGAGGAAGGGACGTTGGATGAAGATTGGATTTGTTTGTATCTCTTTTCTCTACCATTAGAACTGTTTTATAAAATTGATGAATGTTAGAAAAATGTTGAAATGAAATTACTTGACTTTAGCAAAGATGTTTAAACAACTATGAAAGAATACTATGGTTATGAGAAGTTGGTAAGGATAAGATTTAAGCTTTAAGCTTTAAGGTTTATTTTATTATAGAAAGATAAGATCAAAACAGATTAGGGTAATGTAATGACAGAATATTATGAAACATGGAAAGGATTTGCTGAGATAATTAATAACTAGGATACAAAGAAAGGGAGGAGGAGGAGGTCTAAGAAAGAAGGCAATGACAGTTAAGGATCTGAAAATAATGAATTGGTTTTTAAATGTTTTTAAAGGTTTGTGATGTATTTTTGTACTTTTCTTTTTTTTCTGTCACTTTTTCATATTTTGAATTTTTATTCATATGGTGGGAAGGGTTTTTTTTTTCTATTTTGTCAACTATTTTTAATTTTGTACTTTCTTCTGCTTCTATTTTGTTTTTTTTTTGTTTTTTGTAACGTTTTGAAAACTTCAATAAATATCTTTTTTTAAAAAAACAGAATGCTGGGTATCAGTATTTTTCAGTGTGTGGGGGGGGGGAGCTGTTATGTACTGAAGTTCTCACCCTGAGCCAGCAGGGAGATACTGTAGATAGTTCAGGTCCACATATGCAAATAAGGGATCGAAAGTGACATTCAGTGATTGGATAGTTACAGAAAATGGTTACTGTTGCGTTCTAGTGGAGCTCTATATAAGCAGGCTGGCTGAACCCTTCAGTTCATTTCTGGCCTGTGAATAAACAAGAGCTGTTTGAAGAATCGCTGTGTCGTCTGATATGTTCACCCATAACAACACTGGAGACGAGGATGGGATGGATGGACAACAGAGCATAGCCAGATGCGGCCACCCTCTGAGCGGAGCTGAATCACTGAGCCAACGCCTTCATTTTGACGATTCCCGAGTGGCCTCCGCAGCTGCCCAGGATCCCACCATCAGCCGTGTGCCCAACTGGGTGTAGAGGGGGTGGCCACAAGGACCTTTTGCATCGGAGATCCAGCCATTCGCAACCAGACAACACGAACTCTCGGCTCATCGCGGCTGTCTGCTGTGGGGAGACAGCGTCGTGATTCCGCAAAGACTCCGTCAACGCGTCCTGGAGGCTCTGCACGTTGGCCACCCGGGAATCGTCAAAATGAAGGCGTTGGCTCGGTGTTACGTCTGGTGGCCTAACATGGACGATGCCATCACTGCCTGGGTGTCCGCCTGTCAAGTGTGCCAAGAATCGAGGCCTGCGCCACCGGCAGCTAAGGGACACACCTGGGAGACGCCCAAGACACCCTGGTCGAGGGTGCACATCGATCTGGCCGGCCCCTTTCACGGCCGGACCTTTATGGTAGTGGTGGACGCCTATTCCAAATGGCTGGAGGTGGCCCTGATGCCCTCCACCACTACCGAGGCCGTCATCCGGGTGCTGCAAGGCCTCTTTGCGACGCATGGGTGTCCTGATGTCCTCGTCTCCAACAACGGACCGCAGTTCACCTCAGGCACTTTTGAGCGGTACCTTTTGGGACTGGGCATCCGCCATGCCCTAACAGCAACCTTATTTTTCTCCCTTTAGGTTTTATTGCTGTTTTAACTGTATTTTAATATGTTTCATTTGTATTATTGTTGCTGCCCTGATTACCATTTGGTACAACAGCAAGATAGTAAGAAAATTAATAAGGTGCCTTTAGAAAGGGCAGGATCTATCTCCATCAGTGCAAAACAATTGAATTAACCTAACATATGAAACTTAACTTGCCACAGATGCTTAATTCCACAGTCTCCTCCTTTTTTGCCCCTCCCCTTCTTTTTTTAAGCAAATACAAGGTCAACTTCAAACCAAGTTAAAAGCTCTAGATGCTATTCAGGACAAAAATGCTTCTCTGCTAGAAGAAATCTCTACACTGAGAAACAGCTTTGGATATTTTAATGGGTAAGTGCATTCAGAGGCGCTGTAAACAGCACAACATCCTCCTTTCTTTAAATAAATGTCTTTATTTTAGTTTTTATCACAGCATTAAATGACAGTACAAAATACAACAATGCAATATGGAGCATGGGCTCAGAGTGGACGCGAGTCGTGTCCTCTCTAGAGTACATCAATCTACTTTTTTTACAAGTTGAAAAAAGAGAAAGAATCCTCAGCCACCTTGAACATCTCAGCTAATTGGCAGCCCCTGTCCCTCTTCCCTGAAGAGCCAAGCCCTTCTGTCCACTGAGGGGGCACTCGGGGTCAAGCAGGTCCCCCCGGGTTGCACAGGGCCACACACCTGCGCCCACTAACCTGGCCCTAATGGCACCAGGGAGTGCACCATCTATAGGCTGTGTCTGTATCTGCTACTTCTCATGCCATATTTCTGTGCCTTCTCTGTTGTTGTTCTGCCAATGTCGTTGGTGCTTGAAACAACAAGCATAAACAAGGCTGAAATGCCTGATTCTACTTCCTTTTTAAACAAAGAAATACAGAGAAAGCTTTAGCTGTCACAAATTATTGTGTTAGCCTAAGGTAGGCCTGTGCAACTTGTAACCCAGAGGCTTCACTTTGTTTGCAGTTCTAATCAGACAATAAATGCAGAATGTTTATCTGAATCCAAATGTGCTTCCCTTGCATGGTTCCTGGCTTCATTCTACCCCTGACCTCAGTTAAAGCCACTACATTTGGGTATGGCACTGAGTGTAGTTTTGCCAAGAGAGTATACCCTAGAATGCTCCCCCAGAATCAATGAAATGAATCCTTGAGACTAGGGAGCTTGAAAACCCTTGTCCTATAGAATATGAAAAATCTGACATCCATATTCTTAGCACAAGTGCTGGTTTTGACCTCAAGAGCCTTAAATGGCTCACACCTGCAATACTGCAAGGACCGCCTCTCCCCATATGAAAGGACCTGAACCCTGCAATGGTCATCGGAGACCTTTCTTCAACGGGCCTCCTCCAAGGGAGGTCCAGAGGATGGCAGCATGAGAATAGACCTTTTGTGTGGTAGCTCCCCATTTGTGGAATGTTCTCCCCAAAGAGGCTCCCCTGGTTCCATCATTATATATCTTTAGGCACCAGGCAAAAACATTCCACTATAACCAGGCCTTTGGCCTTTTAGAAGTGGGCTGGATGTTTTTAATGTATTTCTTTTTCCTCTTGGTTTTAATGTTTCTGTGTAGGGCTTTTTGTCTGCCTATTTGTTTGTAAGATGCTTTGGGTTGCTCTGGGCAAGTTAAAGCAACTAACAACTTCAATAAATAATAGTAGTAATAATAATAAAGCAGCCTTCCACAATTATTCACAAAATCAAAGCTCTATTCAGAATGACCATATTCTTTGTTTAAAAAGCCCAAAGTACCAGGCACCTCTAGTCCAGCTTTCTGACCTTCAGACAATTTCTGTGTTCTTGGCTTGTTCCTTTGTAACCATATATATACTAGCAACTGGCAGCTTGCACCACTGAATTTGTCTTCTCTTTTGAGCTGTTCAGTTTCCCTGTCATAAATAGCTTCAGACATGTGTCTGTATACTCAGCTCAGACAGTAGAGCATGGGACTCAGTCTCAGGGTCTGGGTTCGAGTCCCACATTGGGCAAAAGATTCCTGCATTGTAGGGGGTTGGACTAGATGACCCACATGGTCCCGTCCAACTCTACGATTCTGTGCCAATTGTATCCATTTGTAAACGAGGGGACAGCGAGAAGGTGCTGAATCTGACTATGGTCTACCCCAATAGTGTTGGCAGCAAACAGAAATGTTGAGAAGGTTTGGCTGTGCTCTGGGTGGCCCTTCAACAGCCCAAAAATGTGGGGTGGGAGTGGCTGCATCTGCCAATATGGCCTTGTCTCTGAAAGACAGATTTGTCCAAATTCCACATGTGATCACATGCCAAGGCAGCTCAAAAGAGTCCAGGCTTAGATAATAAAATTTAGTCATCTGACAGTTCTGGTAGATAATTTTTGCAAAGTCTTCTTCTAGACACCTTACTTGTTCTGTTCTGTATTGTTTTGTTTTTAAAAGAAAACTGGCATTTGTAGGTAGGGCCTGAAATTTGTGGGTGCCCAGCCCCTTCATGGGGAATTTTGTGGGCTCCAGGGAGTTGGCACCTGTGTCTTGGCTGTCTTATTACAAGTAAAAACAGGTCATGCATGATCACATACAGTATGCAAACAGTGCTGCCACCCCTGACTTGTGTAATTTTCAGCATCTCTTTGTTCCTCTCCCTTCAATTAGTGTTTCCACAGACTTTAAAAAAAAAAAAACCAATGCATTTTTCACAGAAACTGGTGTGTTGATATGCTAATGTACAGAGCATTGGCATACCTTGGTATGCAGAGGTGACTAAGGGCTCACCCCCCCTTGCGTTTGTCCTGCTAAGACTCACAATCTAGCGCTGAATCAGACCAAATGGCAGTCGGGTTTTCAGCGGACGGCTGTTTGTTCTGATTCAGTGGAACAAATTATCAGATGATGATATTATCCTAAGTCACATACCAACTAAATGTGGTTTGACAGCAGCTCAATGTAAATGGACTCTTTGTGCTCTTCTGCTAAAAGGCTGATATTGATTGATTGGAAAGATAAAACATAGCCCCCTTTGAACAATGGATAGAAGATATGACTACTCTTGCCACATATGAATAGATCGCTTTTAGACATAGATTGTGTATGGACCAATATCTGGAATATATTTATATAAAGCACAATGACTTGTTAATAATTTTATACTTGTTAGAATAATCACAGTGCTTATATACTCATATTGTACTCATATTGTACCACAGTTTCTTGTTTGTGTTTTGTTTTGCTTTGATTTTTCTCCGCCTTTTTCACTTTATTTCTCTACTGAAAATTTTCAATAATTTTTTTATTTTTAAAAATGTGTTTTCAAGGGGAAAGCTGCTTCAAATGCAAAACCGCTCAGCCCTGTTCCAAGAAAACCCAGGACAAGCAGAAAATCACTCAGACCTGCCCTTTCTAGAGGAAGGGTGGATGAGCTCAAAGTTACTGCTTCCCTGTTGAATGGCATAAACTTTTGTGGTCTAGAAGGCCACCTCCTCAGATGCATGAAGATCCTAAATTGGCCTGCAATTAGTTTCGGGGGATGACACAAACATCCTAGCATTGGTCAGTAGTGGGGTAAAAACATGTAATTTCTATTCAAGCCACAGGTGAAATGGTACAAGTTGGTGAATGATCCCCTGGGATCAGACCCTGCAACAAAGTCCCCCTGCAAATTCTGTCTCCATACCTACCCGGACAATGCTATGGCAAGACCTAATAATATCACCCAGAATATCAGTGGGTCATTCACTGTTTCCATCTTCCAAGGTGACATAGACTATCATCTGCCAGCCATGCCCTTCTGCATTCTACATAGAACAAGTAGGCCAGTCTCAATATTAAATAAATAAATAAAAGGACACCAATCAGACATCAAAAAGGGCAACATTCAGAAACCAGTGGGATAACATTTAACAGTGACAGGACACTTTGCTGCTGACCTTAAAGTAGTCATGTTCAAGCAAAGAATTTCAAGAGGAAACTCAAGCATGAAACTGCTGCATTTCAATTTATCAGAAGATTCCGTTCTAGTGCCTCTGCCACCCACTTCACCTCTGATGGCAGGTGGACACCAGTGATTATCTCAGCACACAGTTAGGGTGTGGAGGCTGTAAAAGGATACGCATCCCCACCTTGGATTTGGTTAGTGCCGAATGCTAGCGATTACCAAATTTGGACAGGCAATGCATCCCACATATTTACCATAAATGATGGCAGCTGTATCATTTTGTACACAACCTTCTGAAAAAATATAATCTGCCTCCAGCCATGCAGCTTATATTTGCAGCTCAATCTTTTTCACATTTGCTCATTTCCTTTCCATACTATTGCAATGTGCCATGCTATAAGTCCTAGAACCCATCATAATAGTTTGTTGGCTAAATGGTATTATCTGACTGTAGAAATGAGCATATGCTCATAAAGTATAGCATATGCATTGCTGTCCCTTAGCAGGAAAGGGCTTGACTCTGTAAATAAATGCAATTTCACCAGCTTGGTTTTTAATGTCCATACAGAATTGAGGCTGCACGCTGTCAGTTGCCCTCTGCTCCACCCCAGTTCCAGCATACCTCAGAGAACAAAGCCAACGTCTCAGCCAAGCCTTCAGAGAAAGTCCTGTATTCACGCTTTATGCCGTCAACTTCAACAGTTAGCCTGTTACCAGGAAAATCATCATCAAGAATGGTCCGATTCCCTATATCCTCCTCACTTCTGACACTAGATAAAAAAATTGGTAAGCTCACAGATTGCACCAGAGGACTTTGAAAAATGACTACACACTCCTCCCCCAGGCGGGAGGAGCCCATGGGCTCCAGTGGGAGCCTGTAGGCAAGACTGCCCTTAATGGAAGAGTCTTCACTAAATCATGAGGAACAAAACCTTTTTTTTAAAAAAAAGTCCCCACAGAATTGAGGCAGCACATCATGGAGTTCTGAGTTCTATGATACATCAGGAGTGGGGAACCTTTGGTCTTCCCAATGTTGCTGAATTACAACACCCATCAGCCCTAGGAAGCACGGCTAATGGCCAGGAAAGATGGGAGTTGTAGCTCAGCACTATCTGGAGGGCCAAACGTCCCCACCCCCGGTGGTATACATGAAAAACTACGCTGTGCTACCACCAGACATGGGGAAGAACATAGGCGACGAAGGGTGCCATGGGCAGCATTCAACCTAAGTTTTACTCAGAGTAGAGCCATTGAAATTAATAGACCTAACTTAGGCACAGTCAGTAATTTCATTGGGTCTACTCTGAATAATGCTTAGCTGAATAGCACCCTATGAATCTTTGCTCTACATGTCAGCACAAGTACAAAGTTTGCACAAACAGATAGATAGATAGATAGATAGATAGATAGATAGATGATAGATAGATAGTATTTCTGGTGCATGTGTATGCCTGTTACCTGAATTTGGTTGCATCCACCTTTGCCAGCCTGGTACCCTCTGGATGGTTTGGCTGAGGTTCATGAGATTACAGTCCAAAACATCTGGAGGGCACCAGGTTGGCAAAGTCTGGGTTACAGACATTTGTGTGTCCTGTTTTTAAATGTGCTGCTTTTCTTGAATAAGGTGCACGACCCTTTATTTTGGTGGCATTGTGTAAAGCTTGTATTCTGTCACTAGGCAGCTGTTTGTTTCAGCATTAAGCTACACCATGACCATGGGTAGGCAAACTAAGGCCCAGGGGCTGGATCTGGCCCAATCGCCTTCTAAATCCGGCCCGTGGACGGTCCAGGAATCAGCATGTTTTTACATGAGTAGAATGTGTCATTTTATTCAAAATGCATCTCTGGGTTATTTGTGAGGCCTTCCTGGTGTTTTTACATGAGTAGAATGTGTGCTTTTATTTAAAATGTATCTTTGGGTTATTTGTGGGGTATAGGAATTCATTCATTTTTTTTCTTTTCAAAATATGGTCCAGCCCCCCACAAGGTCTGAGGGACCCTGCTGAAAAAGTTTGCTGACCCCTGAGCTACACATACAAAGATGCAGCAAACCACAGCAGAGGGACCAGAGCATTGCCTTGTGGCAGGACTGGTATATATTAGTGATGATGAGTAGAATTTCTGTTGGGAAGAAATTCAGCAGAAACATGGCAAACTGAAATTAAGATTAGAAAAATGAGAAACTGAAAGAAACTGAAATTGCAGATTTGCTCATCCCTATGATGACATACTCTCCAAGTCTGATCTATAATTAATTTTCACTAATAGACTGCAGATAATTTATTTGAATTAATTAAACATCTACCAGGTTTCTAACCCAACTCACCATGATTAATTACAGACCCATCCCTGCCCACCCAAATAACGCCGAATGCCACAATTTCCTCTTCTTTGAACATTCTCAATTCAGAAACCCCATGAAGCTCCCCTTGGATGCATTTCCAGACTGACAAGACAAAATTAGCCTAGGAGTTTTGGTTCAGGCTGCTCATTCTACTGCCAGTCCCATCTCTGCACAGGAAAAACAGCAGCAACACAGAACCCAACTTGCCTAGTTTCTTCAATATGGAGATTAGTGGTTATTAAGCTGCATTTTGGCCACCATATCCCCTCTTGGGTAATGCTCATCATGTACAAAATCAACACCCTGCTAATGCACACACATCTGTTTTGGCTTCCGCTGTGTGCCTCAGTACTCTCTCTCTCTCTCTCACTCACACACACACACACACACACACACACACACTATTGATTATACCGACTTTTCATTTGCTACTAAGAAGACTTGTACATTACCTAAAATTGGAAGCTTATGCTCTATCTGAACAGTGCCGAATAAATATTGCCTTTTCCTGTATAACACCTTTTATTATGGAAATATGGAAGCAAAGATCCTTGCATATGCAATAAAAAAAACTGTTGGAAAAGTTCTGTCTGAGGACTGTAACTAGAAACCAGACTAGTTTTGAGGCTACAAAAATTAAAAGCAAAATATTCCTTCCTTCAGACATTTAACTGCACGATGGTTGGTTTTGGATTTTTGAAGCTTTTTCCTAGGATAGCACAGCTTCTTAGAAAATAAT